CACCCAGTGTACTCCGCATACTTGGGAAGAAGAGAAGAGCTTTAAATCTCCTCCACATGTACTATCCCTTATACATATATACAAGTCTCTCTGTTTTTCACCAGGCTTCCTAACAGACAGCATAATCTGCCCGTTCAATTTACAGAAAATGCCTCAGATCTGCATGCTCTCCCTATTAAAGACGGACAATGTCTACAAAAATTGGCTGATGATACGCAAAGGTCAGCTTTGGTGCCAACAGGCCCACAATTCAAGTTAAAACAGAATATTGCACACTAGGATTTTGCAGACTGAGTGGCCTGCGGATGAAAAGTGAAAGCCACGTGGTCGGCCGGTGGGACCCAGTTTGTCCATGACCGGGTGCACCACCACATGGGTGCTCCAAGACATCGCTCACAGCCAGCAGTCATCTATCCCAAAGGTGTTTTCTAATGTCTCCTTTGTATGGTCACAGCAACTAGCCCAAAGGGTCCTTGACATTTCTTCTTGTTTTAATTCTCTCTCCATAAAACAGACTCCCTTGTCCTCTCAACTTTCCATACACACCCTTTGTCCACAACTATTACACTGATTGAGGCTATAATGAAATGTATTATTTCACCAGAGACTTTACTGCCTTGCATTTCACCTGATAAATGGTGTGACCATAAGGCTTTGTCCCGTTGCCTTCACCATATCTAGCTTATGAACCTATTTTCATTACAGTTACAGGTGATTGAAAAATAAAGCCAAGTCAAGTGAAATGTTGCTGGGAAATTGGACAATTTTGACTACTTTGCAGCTTTCCACTGAAATTTCAGAAATGTCCAGCCAACTAGAGAGGAGGTCAAGATGCATGTCCTCAATTTTATGGCATGAAAATACCTGCCTGCTTTTTGTCAAAATAATGGAATTATTTAATGCATTTCACAGTTTTCACAGACCCATCATTTCCAGTTTCGCCAACTTCACAGATCAGTTTCTGCAGTCTCGTTTTTATAACCCGTATCAGCCTCTCAAAAGAAGGCATGATTTGCCTCTTCGATTTACATAAAACCTATCAGATTTTCATCATCTCTTCAGAGGGAACAGAGTCTGTAGATTTTTCACAAATGAGGGCTACCAGAAAAGGAAACAACAATTCATTAAGATAAATTTAAATATTTTTAGAATGAAATTTTGATGGGGGAAAAAACAAAACCACAGTGGAAGGAACCAGTATAACAGTCTGCAATGCTCAGCCGTCCTATTGGAAATGCCAATAGAACCTACAGTACTACCTAAAAGGCCTGAAATAGCCATTACATATCACAAAATAATGCTACTGTTGTTTCCCTCGCTATCTTCAGAGTAAAAGCAGTGAGCTGAAGCAGGCGAGTCCCACCAGTGCGGCATGGGCAGCACTTCCAGCTTTCCCCATTCCCGGGGGTGACACTTTGCTGAGCGCAAGGCAGGCAGACACATGTGGACTGGGACCGCAACCCAGGGCTGCTGCTTTGCCCATTTTGAAAGATTACTCATTTGCAGAGTCACACATCAGTAATTTTCTTTAGGTTCACTGAAGCAGAAACCAACTCAGCACAACTCCAGTGAGCCCATTTCTCAGTTTCTCCCCGCAAAAGGAGTTGATAAACCTGAGCTGCGAGATTGCCTCTGAGCCCCGAAGGCTCTCCATCACACCCGATACCTCCCGATAGCTTTATCTGACAATGTGGCAAAACAACAAGAAGAAGCTGATACTAAAAAGAGAAATGTAATACCAGTGCTGGTGATTTATGAAATGCTCTAACTATGACAGGTTTCACTTGCAGTTTTTCCAGTTGGAGAGGCGATGTGCAATTCAAGCTCGCCCTCCAGTGGAATCCATGCCCAGGACACCCAGTTTCCAGAACACTGGTGAGAAGTATTGGGGAGGTAGATGATAGCATACTTGAAAAACCCACTATTTAATTAAGTGAATTAAATGCAACTGTTACCATCTATAACATTTTGTTTCTACTTTTAACTAAGTTCAAAATGTATACCTTCCAACCAACAAAGTTCTACAAAACATCACCTTGCTTTTCCTCCTGTATCCAAACAACTGAGAATATTTTAGTGGCTGTGCATATATAGTAACTGAAAAAAACATACATTTCTCAAGCACATCCTGCTTCGGTAAACAACTATCAGCAAGATCAGCTTGCCTCAAAAAAACCAAAAGGTCCAGATTATGCAATGCTGAGTTTCTGTGATCTTTTCTCAGAAAGTTTCCTACTGAAACCTGCTCACCCTTGCGTGCATAGCTGTCATACTTCATTTATACTTATCCAAAACTGCATGCTAATTACTGTGGGTCATACGTGAATAATTAACTTGTTTGGCCTGAAGCAAAAGTAAAGGCCAAGATAAAAAATGTAAGATGAGATTAATACGTAGAGTGTGCTCATGGTCGGTAAGTCAGACTATAGCAACTTCCTACCAAGACTTAGGAAGTGTTTTGTAGAACACATTTAATTTCAACAGCATAATACAGATTTTTCTCACTGGATCCATTGGCTAAATTCACGTTCACCTTCTCTCTAGACTGCAGTCCTTATATTGCAGAAGGCATGAAGCCATGACAATATAAAGCAGCTCACAGCTCACCACTTAATGAAGATTTTTAATTTGATGTTTGTTGTCTTTTTCCCCCTGAAGGAATAAACCAACACTCAACATGACTGCAAAATATCCCAGTCAGCTGCCTTCTGGGATGGGGACTCATTTCAGCCAGCTAACAGGCAGGTATCCAGGCTTCCTCTGTAGCCAGCAGTGAGAGAAGCACCTTCACAAGCCAATCCCTGGGTCTACCCAAAGAGGGAATAACGTGCCCCAGAGGTGCCAAACCCTTTCCTCTGACTACCCAGAGATGCCAGACAGATAGCACAGCCTAGACACCAGCTGCCAGGGAACCACAGCTGGGGAGATGGATCCTGTGATTACGGTGGGTGCAGAAACTCCCTTCATGCTGCTGGAGAGCTACAGCTGCAAAAACTGCAAATACCAACATCATTTCAAGCCTTCGGTGCCTCTTTTTTAGCACCCTAAGTGAGATTCAGTGGTGCAAACTATCGAAGGCTGATTTGGGTGCGTCACCCACAAGCGCTGGTCTGCCATGAGATCGCTAATGAATCACAGACTCGTGACAAATGTGATTCTCAGTGATTTAAAATGTTACAGCCAAGAAGAGCCTTCTGTATTTCTGGGCTACCCTAGGTGTGACATTTCTGAGGTTGTTCACATCTAGTTTTGTAACTCAGCTCCTTACACGGTGCTTGCTTATGCTCCTGCACTGGTTGCCAGTCTTGGAGGCTAGAAAAGCATGACCTCCATGTGGTATAAGTGGTATTTTTGGTTTAAACCAAAAAGTCTACCAGTTTCACACCTCTGCTGGGCTCTCTGCCTTCTAATCTGCTACAGCCATAAAATGCTTAAAGAGTGATACAGGCAGGAATACAGAAGTAACTTAGAAATCAGGGCAAGGAGAAAGAAAGAGATGGAGTAGGGTTAGACTGGAATAAAAGTAATAAAACAAGAGTGACAGAGAACAAGGTGAAAGGGTAAGGGTATATAAAATACGTCAGAAGGGTAGGGATGAAAGGCCACAGAGAAGATAGGAAGAACAGGGAAGAAGAAAAAAATAATCAAGACAAGATAAGATAAATTAAGAGAGCAGAGGAGGCACAAGCATTAATGGTAAGATACAAAGAAACTAGAATAACTGGCCTAGAGGGAAACGTAATGAAACCCCCAGATCACCAGAACATTTCCACTGCTTAAGGACGGGACTCTTACCTTCCAGAAATTGGTTTAGTAGGGGTTATTAGGATGGAGCCTTGTTCAGTATTCCTCTCAACAAAAGCCCAACCAACCAAAAGACATATTGGAGAGAGTGATGGAGATGTGGCCTATTTTGAAATCTGGACGCTATCACTTAATTTTAAAAAATACTATATCATATTTAGAGTACATCATACCACAGAAAGCGCCAGCAGATTCTCAGCAGAGAACAACGTTGTGCTACATGCTGGATAAACACCATCTTTTCTCCAAGGAGTTACAAGGACGCTGAAGTACATTAAGAGCAGAGAGATCAATAAATTTAATTTAAGCAAATCGGCAGCAGAGTAACGAACAGCACTGAAACTCAGAGTGTTCTGGCCACTGCCTTTCTAGCCATCCAAGCCACCCCCCCCTTTAAATCATTCCTGATGACTTCAAATTGCTGCTCCTGAGTTTATCCACAATAAAATTACAGCAATTACACATCACTGCTTCAGCTACCCTTACATGTCTGTCATGCAGAACAGTAACAGCCCATAAAGTTAATAAGGATACCAGGTACTGATTAAGTGTTAAGCAGTATCATCACTGAATGGGACCCAGGTCATCAAGACACTTCTCTTGCATCTCTGTTGTAGTGCAACCGAAAGTGGCTGACCTTCCCCTGCAGTATGTGGTAGGTGCCTCTGAAAGCCTCCTGAAAGACATACTGAGCTCTTGAGTTTACACTTGAACTGAAAGTATTTAGTGGCATCTATCGTTCAAAAGCTACACCTGTAAAAAGCAAGTAGTAGCTCAGTAGGAGCAGGTCTGTAGAGTTAAAAAATATGGTGCTGAAGATCTGTATCCATGCTATACACTTGAGGGTTTTCTTTGCACTAGTTCTGGTTTGTCCCAAGCAATGATCACTCATTGCTCCTTGAAGCACATTAGGTGTGTCCCCAGAGGCCACTTTTCTACTTGGTTTCACCTGAAAGGAGTTCAGTTTGCACTGAGAGTGCTCTTGTGCTGCAAAGTGGTGATGACAGGGGAGTGCAATTCAAAAGCATGCTTCATCTGCGCCAGAGTGCCAATACTGATGCGCCCGCAGACACCTCCACTGTTTAGATACAGGCTTTCAGCTCTTGGTGCAGGATGATGAGTTCAATATGTCCTAAATTAGGCAGAATGGAACTTTCTTGTCTTAACCATGGTGCACAGTGCCAGGAAAGTCTTACCTGTGTGCGTCCTCCGGTGAGCCTTCAGGTGGGAACTTTTTGTGTACACTTTGTTGCATCCCTCAAAGTCACACCGATGGATGCGCCGCTTCCTGGAGTCTGGCGACTCGGACCTTCGCTGACGCCTTGTGCTCTCAATACTGAATGGTGAAATTGAACTGCAAAACAGAAAAGAAGCAACAAATGATGCAAGAGCATGGTGTACATCCCAGGCCCCAAAAGATAAGCTGTGATACATCACTGTGTCAGAAGTGACCTTAAGAATTAATTAAATATTTCCTTTTCTACAATGGTGTCCACAGCATGTATTTGAAACAATTTGTGCTTGAACTAGAGTGTATTTTGCAGTACAAAATAATTCAAGTCTTGATTTAGAAGTGCTTACTGCCGGAGAAAACACCACAATCCTTGAAATACTGCTCCAATAATGAAGTAGCCTGACTAAATCTGAGCTTTATTTCTATTTTACACATGTCCAGATCCAAGGTCACTGAACCCTGCTTTCTAAACAACTTTATATATAGCCTCCATAATTCCTCTTTGACCAGTTTAAATAGACAGAAATCCTGAAACCTTTTATGAAAAAGTGTTTTCAGTACTCAGATCTGGACTATGGATCCTCGCATTTGGCCAAACACCTGTTGTTTGCTTGCACACAGATTGCTAAGAGATCTGTATCACCCTGCAGCAGTGATTTTTCCATTTACTTATTTAACAGTTCTCAATCTATCACCTGCAAGTCAATGAATTCTATTTCCTTTCAGACCACTGATAAATACAGAAGTTTATTAGCACACGGACAGCAATTGATCCCCACAGAAATGCCTATGCTCAGTGAAGATACTCCATTTACAGCAACTTCCCAAGGCCTATCAGTTACCACAATTTTAAGCAAATAAAAAAAGTAACGTTGAAGTCATGTTGCTTGATTTTATAAGTACAGTATGAACCGAGTCTAATACTTGAGGAAAGTTTGCTTCAACTACGTACCTGCCTTGGCTAGATAAACTCATGTCATAAACTATTATCAAGCTGGTATGCCAAGATCCAAACCCTCATCGACTTCCATTAATTACATTACTCAGCTATAAATCATTACTAATTGATCGCCTTATCAACCCCATTATGGTTATTCTTCACAGCACTCACGTTCACCTGCAGTTAACCTAAGCCTGCTTGGCTGGTACAGCACTGGAGCAACATGGGTCCTCAGCAACTTTCTGGGGCTTCCTCACATTCCTGGGTTTAATGACATTGAAAGTAAATGATCTAAAGATTTGTCAGCCAGCTCTTTAAAACTCGTAAGAGTTCCTGGTTCTCCTGAAAGGATTTGTGACTCTCAGATGAAAATTAATTAGAGGAAAGGAAACTGAATCTGATCACAAAAAGAAGGAAGCACGATCCTTTGGGGAAGGAAGATGCTGAGAGAGGCATCTGAAAGAAGCACTGATGTTGATGCATCTGCTGAGAAGCTCCAGTGTCAACACCAATCTCCAGCCTTCATTTACAACAGTCAGTGCTGTTACAGCTGCAGCCGTTCTGGCATAAAGCGCACTTTTAGAGGTCTCCAGAATTTGCTGAGAACTATTTATATTGGGTTAAAACTTCGCACAAAGCCATCTCGCACCATTAGCATGTGACTTCACTGATGTTCCAATTCGCTGCATTACAAATCTTTCAGCCTTTAATTCATGGTTGTTCAAATTACGCATTTTTCTTTTTGCTTAAATATTTTTACAGTACAACTCCAATTTAAAGCGCTATTTTAAAAAACACTCTCTTTCTGACAGTCCTCTTTTCCTCTTAACACTTGATACTTATTCATATTTCACCTCTAAGCAAAGAGGTTTTCCAGATTAATTATTTTTGCCTATAATGTGATATGTGCAAACGGGCATGCGGGGAATTTCTGAAATGGAGGAAGAAATGGACAGAGGGCTGTAATATCACCATTAACCAGGAAAAAGTGGTCCCCAAGAGAGTAAGACACATCAGCACTTTAACTATGTGACAGGAATAGAGATATGTTTATCTGTCACAAAAATGGCTTAGGAATTGCATGTAAGCATCTGCATCTCAGGGCAAATAAAAGTCTCAGGTTAGATGATAAACTGAGAGCGGTCTTGCTACTCCAGGGGTTTTTTAAACATTCCACCAGCTAAAATGAAAAGCAAACATGTAAATCAAATCTTAAAGCTCGATACTGAAGGTACAAAATCCAGTGCTCAAGACCAGAAAATCTTTATGTTTAAAAACAAATATTTGTGCATCATTTTTGCTGCATGTGATTTATGAGCCTTAAAAGCCTGTTTTGTAACAGGGCGTTCAGATCCTGGCTAGTCCGGCTCATTTAAATGGGAGGAGGATCAAACCTGTAATGCTGCTGCGATTTCCAGCCCCGAGACAAAACGAACCTTGAGCAGAGTCAGCACCTCGTAAAAAGCTATTTGTCACGTACAAGAAAGTGACCTCACTGCTGGGAACTGCTCTGTGCCTTCCCGGGTGTTTCTATAAGAGACAGCGGCATAAAGCGGTGCCGCAAAGGTGGCACACAATCAGTGCAGCTGCTTCCTAACTGGATCTCTCCCTTTCTCTGAAAGGCAAACCATCCTACCTATTGGAAAATAATTGAACAAGCTACAGAAGGTGGTGTGTGTTGCCACCGCCCCCCAAAAGCTTCACAGCCACTGCTTGCTCAGCACACTGAGGAGAAAGGCTACCGTCAGCTGCAACCTGCAAACGTAACCTTGTGCCTTCCCTTCGCAGCACTGCAGGATAAATGACAAACCAGCCAGCAGAAGGGACGCAGGCGGCTGGTGAGAGTGCACCTCCACGGTGATCTCCCTCTGCCACTCGGACCTCCGCGGTGCAGGGGGACTCCACAGCACAGACAGGCTCCCCAGTGGAAAAGGAGCCAGATCCCACCTGACACCACCAGCCTTGTTTTAGCCTTACAAAAGCTGTGTGATTCTTTTTTTAAATGGAGATACCACAGGAAGCCCTAAAAAGAGCACAAGGTGCTTTCTTGAGCTTCCTGAGGTTGCTCCCTCTCACAGTAACTGCCAGTTGATTTGCTGATGCGCTTTCTCTTGGCCATGCAGCAGTAAAGGGACACTATTTCTCAAGCAATTTCTACAAAATACCCTTACAGACCACATGGACAGACATAAAAGAAGTTCTCAAAACCATATTTTGTGCCTTTTAAAGGCCATGGGGGTTCTGCCTGGTGGCTCTAGTCAACACAGGGCTCCAGAAGCTACTGTTTGGTGGCACCATGGGGGACTAAGCCTTTGAGAATGGACAAAAGAGGAAACCTATAGGTATTTATCTTTTATGAAGGGTTTTTGTTTGTTTGTTTACAATAAGTTTTAAAATAATGTAAAATAAATGGGAAAAAAGCCCACAAACAAACAAAAAGTAAAAACCCCACCATATTTTAGCAGCCTCTCTTGACCATGTCCCTCACAAACCACTCAAAGTGGTGGCCTGGAAACCCGTCAGCAGCTGAGAGCCACCAGGGTGCCCAGAGGAGGAGCTGTCAGTTCTCCTGTTCATGGCCAAGATCTCAGGCAGCCTTTCAAGCTGAAGGAGGGGTTTAGCACAGGACTGACACCACAGGTAACATCCCAGGCAAACTGCAGGATGTATCAAATCACTGCAGATACATCAAGTTCAAAAGATAAATTAACAAAGAAAGAAATGGGGTTTGACCTGACAGCTTGACATTCATTCATTTGCAGTTTTACTTCCAGTATTATTTCTACAGTGCTGTAGAAACTGGAAACTATTACACTAACAGAAATCCTGGGAGCCTGCTGGTTGCCTCCTTAAGCACCTGCAATGCCTGTGGCCAGTACTGCTCATCGGGTGAAATGAATGAAACCAATGCGAGCATTTAGGGTGATCTACAAAACTTCAGCTGTATTATTTGCATCTAGAAGTAAAAACACACATCTCTGCAACTCACGCATGACCGAGTGCTTGTTTCTGATGCAAAAAAAGTAAAGCAAAGACTGGGGCTTCACCAGTAGATGGCCACCAAGTTCTGCTGAACATGATCTGTGCTGCATGCAACCGGGATTATCACAACGCTGGCAATGCAGGGCTTTTCCTTTCTATCAACGCTGCCCATGACCTCCGAGGTGTTTCACCTCCATTCTACACACAGACTGTGAAAGGTCATGGGCATATGCAGTAACGCTGTTAAAACACACATAGCGTGTCTTTTTATACTGATCCCGTGTTTGCTGAGCGATGCACAGAGCAGAGCTGCCGGGGGAGCGTGGTGTGTTTTGTACAGCCTTGAACTGCGTTCAGTGCTGCAACACCAACAACGTGCCACATAGTGACAAGGTGCCACACAAATGGCCTGCTCATGTGCTCTCACTCACGGCAAACACTCAGGGTTACCTTTGGCCACCAAAATATGAGCTTCAGGGTGCTGCCGGCGTGCCCCATAAATTGGGTATAACATGAGCCATGGTCCTCTTGTGTTTCTCAGGCTCTGGGCTGTTAAAGGATGCGATTTGGCTCAGTTCTGCTCCAGTTGCCTTCCCTTGTGTCAGCACTGGCACTTGTTTGATCCTACAAATCACCCACAATGAAGTGAATTCTGCAAGAAAATCTGAGCAATTTGCTTGCTTTTGCTGGTTTGGCTCCCTAAATAGTGGAGTCTGCCAAGTAGCTGCACTGACACACAGGAGAGGAGGAGAACCTGTGACCAAGGGCAAGGGAAGTGTCGTCACCCATTCAGTGGCAAATAGCTGTGATTACCACCAATGCCACAATTTCCATGGAAATTCAGAATTTGTGTGAAGAAATCAATACATGGACATAGGCAATCAACACAAGGAACAACTGGAAAAATCCACCTTTCGCTCCACAATGAAGCTTCTTCTTATGACACTTTTGTATGCAGAAATAACACACACAAACACATAAATAAATAGGCTGAGAACAGAAATTGGGAGATATTACCATGCAAAATACTTAGGAGGTGGCAATGTGCCTTGACAATATGGGATAGAACCAACAAACATTCATACCTCACCCTCTGGCCAATTTTGGACATCCAGGTATTTATGGCTTTTCATTGTTTTTAAAAGGAAAAAAAAGATATAGATATACAATATTTAAACAGAGGAACTGTGTATAAACT